GATCAATAAATGTTTTTGTGCAAATACTGTAATGTTAGTGCTAATGCATTAGTACAATGTAATACACTAATCTACATATATTAAATGTTTATTTACATTATAAGTACATGTATAACTATAATACCTAAAATACCACGAGGATGAACAGCATAAGAAAACTCATGAGGAAATGAACAGAAGTTTTCAGCACAAGTTTGATTCATGTGCAGCAAATACAACTCAGGGCCACTCCCTGTATGCATAGTATTGGGTAGCTTCCCTTTGAATGAGTACCCCCTAGTCTGTGCCCTAAGTACTGCGCCTCCCAACCTGTCACAATATTCTTAATGTTCTCATAGTTCTGTTCCCTGTGAACAGTTTCTAGGTTTTCAGTAAGTGGTGTGCAGAGATGGCTGTTTTGGCACTGAGTAGCCTGTGGGTTGATCCCAAGAACGAGGCCTTTAGCTCCCTGCTACATAACTCTGCCAGGTGTTCTGAGGGTAGCTGCTCGAGCAAATGGAAGACTCATTGGAAAATTTGCTTTTTCAAGTTGATGGATGTACAGGAATAGCCTTTTTTATCTGCTAGGAAAGCCTTGTGAAGCCAGGAAGTGGAGAACACTTGCTGTAAAAGAAAGCTGAGAGAACGAGGCTCTGCCTCATGAATCCATCATGTGGGTTACTATTTGAGGGGAGAGCAGTGGATGTTGTCTTCTTGGACTTCAGCAAGGCTTTCAACACTGTCCTTCACAAAATCCTTGTAGGCAAACTCAGGAATTGAGAGCTGGATTAATGGACAGTGAAGTGGGTTGAGAGCTGGCTGAGTGGCAGATCTCTGAAGGTCATGATCAGCAGCACAGGGTCTGGTTGGAGCCCTGTCACTGGTGGTGTCCCCCAGGGTTCAATACTGGGCCCAGTCTGGTTTACCTAATTCATCAATGACTTGGAGGAAGGGGCAGAGTTCCCTGCCAACACAAAGCCAGGAGGAGTGGCCCACACCCCAGAGTGCTGTGCCACCCTTCAGAAGGGCCTCGACAGACTGGAGAGATGGGCAGAAAGGGACCTGCTGAAATTCAACCACGGCAGGTGCAGGTTCTGCTCCTGGGGAGGAATAACCCCCTGCACCTGCACAGGCTGGGGCTGAGCTCTTGGAAAGCAGCTCTGTGGAGAAGGACCTGGAGGTCCTGGTGGAAAACAAGCTGTCCATGGGCAGCAGTGGCCAAGGAGGCCAATGGGATCCTGGGATGCATTTGGAACAGCACTGCCAGCAGGTTGAGGAAAAAGATCCTGTCCCTCTACTCAGCCCTGGTGAGGCACATCTGGAGTTCTGTGTCCAGTTCTGGGCTCCTCAGGACTAGAGAGACTTGGAGCTCCTGGAGCAGGTCCAGCAGAGGGCTACAGGGATTATTAAGGAACTCTCACTTAGGAGCATCTCACTTAGGAGGAAAGGCTGAGGCAGTCTGGTCTGTTCAGCTCCAGAAGAGATGAATGAGAGGGGACCTTATCAATGTCTATAGATATGTGACAGGAGGGTATCAGAGGATGGAGCCAGGCCTTTCTCAGTGGTGCCAGCAATAGGACAGGAGGCAATGGGCAGAAAATGATGCACAGAAGTTCCACCTGAACATGAGAAAGAACTTCTTTACTGTGAGGGTAAATGAGCACTGGAACAGGCTGCCCAGAGAGGGTGTGGAGTCTCCTCACTGGAGATAATCAGGATCTATCTGGACACAGTCCTGTGCCATGTGCTCTGGGATGGCCCTGAAGATTGAACCAGAAGACTCACTGTGACCCCTTTCAAGCTTGCCCATTTCATGATTCTATGATTTGTTGATAAGCTTTGAACTGGCTATCTTTTGTTGGATTTTATTTGGAATGGTAAATAGTACACTAGTAATTTGACAGCCTGTTGTAATCAAACTATGCTTCAAACATAGATGTTCCTGAGCTGTCCAAAGAAAAGGCAGTAATATTTCTTACTATAAATACGAAGTACAGCACTTTCCTTAGCCTTTAAGAATTTGTCAGAAAAACATATACTAGTATGGATGACAATTACTCAAAATTTTGTTGCAAAGCAAATGACCATGATGGAAAATTTCAATTTAGCCAAAGAGCTAAAGGCTAAAATTTAGCAAACTGCAAAGAAAAAATTACAAGCCTAAGTAATGGGCAACCCTAGTAACAGGTGGCATTTGCCTATAACATAGAACACATTTGAACACTATTGGAAATAGTATCTGTCCTATTTCTTCCAGCTTCTCTAGTGATGTTTTTACAGAAAGTTATTATTTTCCATCAAAGTTTATGAATCACTTCTCATTTTGTTGCAGCAGAATGAAGGCAGGAATCTCATACTCTGTATTCTCAAATTGCTTGGCATGTCTAACCTACATATCAGCCTTATACCCACTTTTTGATATTCCACTGGAATTTAACCAATGAAGCAGTGATTAATATTAATGAGAAAGTAGAAATTTCCATACATTTGTTGTCTGTTTTCATCAGGTGTCAGACATACAGTAAGAGACGCCAATTTAAGAATCTAGACAGATTTAGGTAATTTCCTTGATGCTTGATGGCTATAATTAAATTAATTCTGGGAATCTGCACTGGCACTTCTGCCATACTGTGATGGTGGCCTCCAAGCTCCTAGTTAAAAAGTTTTTAATGTTTTCTCTCCCACCTAGAACTGTGTGGGGACCAAATTCATGTTAATTTTGTGGCTACAGTGCTAGAGAAGTATATGCAGAGGGAAAGGCCTGACTGTCTCTGAAAGCCACCCGTAATCCTCTCTGTGCTGAACCACATGTAAGTGTCAATAAGCATACTTGGGAGCATGGGGGCAGCATAGTTGACCAGGTAGGGCAGTAAATTTAGGGAGCCACCACCCTGTGTGGCACCCTGCCTTTGAAAATAGCACAGTAATAAATAATGCATGCTGATGTGCCGACCAAGCTAGCTTCACCCTGTCCAGACCTGTTGGTACAATGTGCTTTTTTGTCTGTCTGGAAGTATTCTGCGTCTTAGCGACCAAAGCTGTCTCTGCCCTTAGGAGCTGAAACAGAAAAAGCCAAGAGTCATGCAAACAGAAAGTGACATTCCAGTCTCAGTACCACATTGGAACCATTTATCTTCTGCTTTTGCTGATGTCCTTTCTAGCAACAGGAAAATTCTGCTTTCCCTGTCTATGTTGAGATCCAGTGGTCACATCCTTCTGTGGTGCTTCTGCAGCATACAGATGAATTTCAGTGTGATTCTTTAGTCTCCCATATTTTGCTCAGTGGCACAATGTAAGACTTGGGTTTCTTCCTAAAGGTATCCTTCTGGGAAGGAAAGTGATCTTTACTTCTTGCTAGTTCTTTGCTGCTTAGCTTTTCCTGCTCTGGACTGATCTTCATGCTGATATCATGCTAAGACATTATTTTGATGATGAAAGCTATAAATATTCACCAAGACATGACCTGGTATGCAAATACTTGGACTCAGTGACATGAATGCTTAGAGAAATCTTTAAGTGCTAGGCCTATCAAAATAGTTGCCTAGCTGTCTGCAGGGACAACCTCAACCCTTGGAGCTGCAAATGCAAGACAATGAAGCTCTCCAAGATGGGTTTTTACAGTCTTCCTTCTTTCTCAAGGACAACTTTTTTTGATAGGTGAGAATCAATGAAAGCCAAGGAACTTGCGTAACCTGGTGAGAACTAATTCAGTCTTCCCAAGCAACACTTGTACACAGGAGCACCTTATCTATGTGAACAAAATGAGCTTAGTTTTTAATTGTTGTTAGTTTGGATGATAGGAACAAAGGTGACATTCCTTGAGTCTGAGATCCATTATTTATCTTGAAATCAGGTTCAGCATAAATAGTATTTGTGAAATATTTCCCCTACATCGACAATGAGCCTTGATTAATAATTAATAGTATCTCTAGATGTTGAAGGACAATTCATGTTCCGTGCTTGGTAAATCTAGCACTGAGAACTCTTGTCAGCATCTGTCAGGGGAAGATTTATGATGAGACTTGGACCAAAAATGAGCAAAGACTAGAAAATTCACTTCACACAGACCACTGAACAGTCACTGAATAATAATATTTAACATTTCTTGGTTTATGCATACAAATTAATGAAACCTCAGAGCCTGCCTACATTTTAGAGCATTTTTAACTGTTTCCATGTCGGTGCCTTGTTTGACTAGTGAAATAATGAAAAAGAGATGAGGCTTCCTATTTTCATTTGGGCACCTGGTTTCCTGCTCAGGTTCATGGCTGCTGGCTGGAGGAGTAACTCACACATGGTCAAGGAAAACTTTGGACTGAGCACATCTACTGATTCTCTGCCTGCTAACCTGCACAAAACTGAACTTTCATACTCAACCCCATATACCAACACACTGATTATTTTTTCCCTCATTTTCTTTCTTTCCTACTCTCAAATACCCAGAGAAGCTGAAAGACCAATAGACCCCCTCTTTCATGCATTTTTCAGGTTCTCAATGTATAAATGAAAGCCCATCACATGGACTCACCCAGTCTACCTCCCTGCCAGCACAGGGTTGATCCACACCATGCATCTCCTAATGTTACTTCCAGATTAATTTTAATTTAGGACATTCCCTCTTTTCACTTCTCCCCATTCTAATTATAATCTCCCTATCTACCTGAAATAACCTCCATTTAAAAAAGTAAAATAAAAATGAAGGGATGGCCTTAGAAAAAAACAACTACAGAGAAATCAATCCCTCATCCATTACCAGGTTTTTCTTTTGTTCTGGAGCCACGCGTGTAACCCGGTTAGACCTGTTCTCTTTGAATGCCGAGGACTGAGCTGGCCTTATGCAAACGCTCTCAACCTCATCTTGGTTGTTGTCGTTGCAGATCCAATCAAATGAACAGGAAGTGACCTAAGGAATTCCCCTATTGGCTGCCTGAGTGTTCAGCAAAATGTTTTAAAATTAGTATCACATCCATTTATCTTCACTCCTGGGAGTCTTTAGTTGACATAACCTAGTGTGCTTACCCAACCTACTGTTCTGTAGACAGTTTTCCCATTGCCTCAGTTCAGGATTTCCACTCCAGAATCTGCAGCTAAATGAGGTAAGGTGTTTGGGGTATTTAATTTTTTTTCTTAAATGCATTTCCTTTAAAATAACACCAGTGACAATAATTTAAAAAAGAAAAAAAATTGGCTGCTGGACTCCTGGCCACCATACCAAGCCTCTTCCTTCCCACTTTGGAACAGCAGCTAAAGTTATTTATTCAAAAGGCTTTTTAATATTGCAATAATTATTTCTGCTTTCCTGGTTTGAACTTGTATCTCCTATTTAAGTATTTCTGTTGTGTTTATGTTTGAGTGGGGCCAGATCCTGAGAATATTTTCTTTTATGATGTATCTAATAATATTCCCGGTCCTAAATCTGCTACTTTTGTCAACAGAGGTGCCATCTTTTCAGTAAGACAAGGGGTCAAAAAGTGGACTTTCTCAATGCTATGGAAAGTCCTTATGTCACAGAACGGGAATACACTCCACAATGACCGTGTTTTGGTTCATTTTAGTGATGAGGATGTTGATGGACATGGTGTTTTTAATAAAAAACTCTAAAGTACATTTATAATTTGGCTTGGTTTCAGCCTCAAGGCAATTTCTTGGCAGTTGTTTGGTGAAGGAGGTTCTGCTGATCTTAGTTCTGTCTAAGCAAAAACTGCACAGAACCCAGCTCAGGCACTGGGTAGGTAAATATAGTGTGAGGCCCGCAGTGTCTTTGCTTGTTTAATTTGTTTCTGTTCCAATGGTAATTTTATTTTAATAGAACCAGAACTGGCCCCTTAAGGTATAGACACAGACGTTAATATAGTTGTAGAAGAGAACGTGAAGAAAAAGTTGCTCCAAATCTGTGTTGATTTTGTTAAATATGCGTAATGGACTTAGTGACAAATGTTTGCATTTCACCCCATGAGACATTTTAGTCACATACTTGTATATTGTTAGAGAGTTATTCAAATATATCAGTAATGTGCTTTTTGATTACTTAATCTAAAGGTATATGTTGTGTTTGCTTCTAAAGTACATTCAACTATCCTTTCTTTCCTACTTTTGCCATTTTTTAGAACCAAACAACTATTAGAATTAAACAAGCTCATAATGACAGAGATACCTTGATGTAAAAGTTTCACTTAGTAATTTTATTTATACCTGTCTGTGTTAAACAGATCTAACATGCACCAGTATTTCCTGAAATTTGTGAAAACTTCAATAAAATTAAAAAATGCGCTCCTTTAAGTTCTGCTTTGATAAGAAATTTGCAGGGTGTAGTTTAAGTCAGTTGTCTGACATCTGTTTTGCACTGTAGAAAATAAAGCAGTTTTATATTTAAAGCAAGTGCAGAAACTAAAGAAAAAGGTTGCACTTAAAACCAGAAAAACAACAGGATTAAGGTGTTTAACTTACAAATATCACAATGACAGTTTAATTCCTGCCCCATACAATTTTCAAAACCAAGTGATTGTTGCTATAACAACATAAGACTTGCCAGAATTTTTCAGAAATAATTATGTGACTTCAAGTAGAGTATATATTTTAGAAAACTTCCAAACTTGAAAAAACAGTCCAGAAGTCCAGTGATGGGAAATTCCCCAGAATGTTTTTAAGTGCCTCAGCAATTAAATACCATTCTTCTAAAAATATTTTATCTTGTTTTCAGTCTGACATGATCTTGCTTTACCATTCAGCCACCTGATTTTTTTTTGCCTTTTGATGGTTATTGAGAAGTTCTCCTGGGTAGGAAATTGCTGTTCCTTGTGTAGTTAGCTGGGGACAAGCCCTTTCGTAGCCTAGTCTCTGATAATTGTGGTAGTCTGAGTTCCAAAGCCTGTTCCTTTTCATGGAGAAACTTGCAGTACAGTGAAGGATCCCAACCTGTTTCACTGTAAGCTTTTCCATCCTTTAATCACTTGAATTCCCTCCTCTAATTTTTCAACATTAGCTATGAAATTTGGATGTCAGGATGGATCAGAATCTGAAAAGTGCCAAACAGAGATATTATGAGTGAATATACTGGGAATTCCAGTTCAGGGGTTTATGAAGTGTGCCCAAGGCTTTCTTAGTGCAGCCATCCTCCAGACACTCTTCTCCCCCTTGAGCTCTGGTCCTGTATGCAGAGACAAGGTTATCATTAGCAGAGTCAATGTTTCCTTGCATTTAGCATTTCTGTTTTTTTCCACTCTAAGTGTCACTTGCAAAGCCTATAACAATGGTAAAAATACATATTTTACCCAAGTCCTGATAATAAAGGCTCTCATATCAGATCAGAATATCTCTTTGCTTGCCCTAGCACACGTTAGGTCGTGCTTCACATCCACCTATAGAGTGGCAACCATATATTTACCCCAGTCGTGGTGAGATCAGGTAGTAGAATGTGGTCTGTTTTACATAGGATATTATTACCTTCTTGCCACCTGAGAGAATATGCTGTGGTATTGCCACAGTAATTTCTTATTACTTTAGATATTCTCAGGGTGTTGTGGGTTATCAGCAATGCTGGAAACAGACAATAGGCAGGTGGACAAGTGAAAAATTAAATAATTTGGCTCCCACTCAACTTCCTTAATTTTTTTCATTCCCAATGAATTTTCTTGCTAACATCTGTACTTGTTCTGTCTGGGAAGTGCAAGGTAGCAAGCTGCAATGGAAAGAGATCAAACTAAAACAAAATCATTTAGAAACGCAGATGGAGAGAGATTAGAGAGGAAAAAGAAGGATTTCTGTATGTGCGTCTGTGTTCAGACAGCAGTGACGTGTTAGTCTATTGTCTGTCCCACAGCAGTTTGCACCAAACTCCCATGTGAGGATGGAATTCTACACCTGCTGAAGAAGTGTGTATTTATGTACAGTTCTCACAGAAAAGGATTAAGGATTTTATTGACTCAGCAAACTCAGATAACTGCCCACGAGCCATGACAGCTTTCCAGAATCAGTGCTTAGCTTTCCTTCCTTGTTCTCCCCTTCCACGCTTTTTATAAATTTGTTTAACTTAGTGACAAGACCAAGCCAGGAAAACTTCTCACTAACCATAATGTAGCCTGGATCTGTTCTGTGGAGTCTACAGTCACATGCTTTCTGTTGCTGTTAACTTGCTCAGATTCAATCCTCACAAAATTGTCTGACCTCTTTCTGCAATACTATGAATACCATCTCTGTGAACTGGGGCAATGACCTACTGTACAGAGAGACAGGTTGGAAAGTGGGTGCTCCAGGACAGACCTGTCTGGCTTAAAAATTCGTCAGTGTGCCGAGATCAACATACTGATAGAGATGAATGACCCTTTCTTAATTTGAAGGCAATGTGCCCACCCTTGGTAGGATTTTCTGGTCTTACAGGGCTCTCTTTCTCATCAGCCTTACTACGATTGTGAAGTAGGTATTTTTGCTGAGGTATAGGCATTCCTGCAACAAGCAACACATAAAAAGAAAACGGCCACAAACTTAGTTGTCATTTGTCATTACTAATGACACACAATATTAGGACGTGGTAGAAAAAAATGTAAAGACCTTTTTTTTTTTTTTTCATGTCCACAAGGAAATGAACAGAAACACTATTTTTGTAGATAGCATAGTTTGTGATGTTTAATGAAGTAAAGTGTCTGTCCCATCTCACAGCTTCACTACTACTGAATTTCAGCAATAAGTTCATGGAATTTTCTTCCTAATAATAAGCACCTTGTGAGCATTGGTGAAGTTCAACAACATCTTCAGCAAAGCTCTCTGGCTTCAGCCACTCAGCTGGTGTCCAAGGGCACTTCAAGATCTCTAATCACAAATGGCTGCATCTCTCCCTCACTTTCAGTAAGTTTTCAAGAAAAGGGTACATCATAAACTTGGTAACAGTGAAACTCACAAGTAACACTGCTGATCAAAACGCTAAGAAAGAAGGATTCGCTCTCACAACTGGTATAAAAGAAAGCAAGGATTAATTTGGTTTTTGAGGAAGTCATCAGGGGTCTTAGTATGACAGCTCCTTTGAGCTTTACTGGGGATGCAGTTTGCACCAAATCCCTCATGAATGTCTAGAATACTTGGGGCGTTTGCTGGTCATTGGTCTACAGACAAGTGAGAATGAGTAAACATGGAGTCATGTAGCCAGTGGAGCAATCGACTGGCATTTGGCATTTTGCATGTCTCCCTCTGAGGAAGAGCCCTCAAAGGCTGCCTTTCCAGAAGCTGACATTGCACATGGTTATCATTACCTATTCCTCTGCTGATCTTGTGAAATGTGCTTCACAGGAAAGAGTATAAGATCTAGTAGACAGAACAGCCAGCTGGAGCTGGGTAATCACTGGTGGGATGACCAAATAGATGGGGTAATAAAAGAGAATTACTTTGTGGTGGTGGAAAAAAATAATTTTGTCTAAAGGAGCTACAAAAACGTGGAATAAAAGTTCCTGCCTGTTATGGAGGAAGGATACAGACATAAATATTTGAGATATTTTCTCAACTCACTATCAGATGTAGCCAGAATAGTCTCCTGAGTCCCTGTAAGTCTGTAAGGATTAAGCAACCATGTGTAAAAATGTATTCTATTGCCTAAATTAGTAGTGCCATCGCAAGAAGAATTGGTTTCATTTTTTAAAACCATTCTAGGTTTTCTTTCATTTAGCAGTGAGCAGTTAACTAATTTATGTTGCTATATAGTTAAAGAACCCTTGTAAAACTGCCCAAGATGCTATGGTCAGGAATCAGACTAAGTCCATGATATAGTGATTACTCCCAAACTTTCTTAATGATTTTTACTGCAATATGTAATTATTATTACACAATAGTTTAAAAGCTTGCATCCTGATGATGCGCTTTCAAAGTATGCTTGGTTAAGCAATTGTCTCATAGATTGGAGGGGCTTTATCAGGGAGTCAAATTCTGACACACTCAAGGGTGCTGTTCTCATCTCTTTTGCAGTGAGATCTAACATGGTACTCACATAAAAGACTTAATATTCCCAGGCACCTGCCCTGACAGAGGAAGATTAAAAAGTTTTAGAAGACTGAATTAATTGGTGATTAGATGAGTAATACATCCTTATAGACTTACCAAAATTGGAATGTAC